ATGTCACTGAACTGTGCATGTAGAAATTTTTGAAATGGTGTATCTTTGGCTATGTGTATTTTCACCAAAATAAAAAAGGTTGAGAAGTTAGAGGGTTGATATGTTGTGGGGTTGTTCACCAATGTCATAAAACAACATGTGTACTACTGTTTCATGAGAAAATATTTTTTCTGTAAGCCTTCACGTGAAGTACAGTAAAAAAAAAAAAGGCCAGAGCTACTGGACGGATAGAGACTAGGGGAACCTCGGAGACTGTCACCCTAAGATAACTTTGAACTTTCAGCCAAATAATAGATTGGCTTATAAAATAAACAATGTCACCCATGAGTAATGTCCTCACTTAAATAATTAACTGTATGAGACCAAATGGTCAACATTTACCCAAAAGCAAAGATGAGAAGGCAAGGAGGTGAGGGGAAGCTAGATCAATGGAAACAAAACCAAGAGAATGGAAATAATGAGAACGCTAACCAAACCAAAAAGCAAACCCACTGCTGCTGAGTCGATTCCAACTCATGGTGACCCTATAGAACAGAGCAGAACAGCCCATGGGGTTTTCAAAGCTATACATCTTTACAGGAGTGGACTGCCACATCTTTCTCCGATGGAAACCCTTCAAACCACTGACATTTTGGTTAGCAGCTGAGTGCTTTAACTATTGGGCCAGCAGGGCTCCTTGAGAATGCTGACATATTGTAAAATTGTAACCAATGGCATGGAACTATCTGTATGAAAATTATTAAAGGGGAACCTAATTTGCTGTGTAAGCTTTCACACAACAACATATTTTTAAAAATATAATCAAAATTCAAGGAACTTGAAACATAAGTTTTATTCTGAGTAGTTATTCTATATGCATATAGGGAGATCATTTTGATTCCAAAAGAGCAAATGGCTCCAAGTAGGATAGTTACAATGAAGCTTACAAAGAGAAAAGGAGAGAGAAGAACGGAAGATCAACCATTGGCTAATCTTAACGTGATTAATTGAACCCTGCCCTTCCCCTTTACTGAGCTCAACTGATATCAAGTCACAAGGTAGTCTCTGATCCGGCTGTTAAAAAATTTGGCTTTGTGGATAAGAAAAAAACCTTAAAATCAAAGTAAGATGCCTGTTACTAATTTTTCTCTTTCACACCTGGTTAATTTATAATTCCTGACTCCTTCAGGAAACGGCTTTGTCTGTAACTCTCTGTTCTCAGTACCCCAAAGGTGGGAATTATCAAACCCTCCTTCCCTTCTGATTCTGCCTTTAAAAAGCAACCAAAGACTGAAAATTAAATGCAAGCACAACACTAGATGACCCTGTTCTCAAGAGGGGGTATTGTGCATTTCTGAGATCCTCTCTAATCAGTAACAGCCATTTCCCTGATTCTCACCACAGGTAGGAATTGTGACTTACAAAAACTGCTTCTATATAACACCAAATGTGTGTGAAGTGTGCACGCTTGACCAAGGTAAATGATATCACTAAGAAGTACGCAAGAAAAAAGGACATTTTTGGTAAATGCTATGACATATAAAACTGTGCAACAACAACTAACTAATAGGAATGTGGACACGTGTATGTATGTATGCATTTAAGTGTATAGGTATGTATATGTGTGTATATATGTGGGCATATATAGATGTATCTACATACAGGTGTATATATGTCTAAGTATCCAACAAAAAAAAAAACCAAACCTGTTGCCATCAACTCAATTCCAACTCATAGCGACTGTACAGGACAGAGTAGAACTGTCCTCATAAGATTTCCAAGGAGTGGTTGGTGGATTCGAACTGCCAGCCTTTTAGTTAGCAGCCACTTAACCACTTTGCTACCGGGGCCCCTTATCTAAGTATGTGCATCCATATATATACATATACACAATAAAGCACATAGGGGGCACAAACACAGATACTTCTTAGACTTAATCAAACACCTCGCGGGATTGGTTATTGGCGTCCAAAGGCTTAGGACCATAGTCTTGTGGGACAACTCAGTCAACTGGCATAATATAGTACATAAAGTTTGTGTTCTACATCCTAGCTTGGGGAACAGCGTCCAGAATCTTAAAAGCTTGTGAGTGGACATCTAAGATACAACTATTGGTCTCTATGCATCTGGAGTAAAAAAGAAGGAAACCAAAGAGTCAGAGAAGAAACTAGTCCACAGGACTACACAAACCATGACCTCATAGACCCTGAAACCAGAAGAATTAGATGGTATCCGGCTACCAATACTGACCTTTCTTATCAGGAACACAATAGATGGCTCCTTACGGAATGGGAGCAAAATGCGGAACAGAACTCAAATTCTTATTGGACTGGTTGATACTGGAGGACTCCCCAAGACTATTGTCCTGAGATACTTTTTAAACCTGGAACCAAAACAATTCCATGAAATCATTTTTTAGCTAAATAACAGATTGGCTCATAAAAGAAACAATATCATCTGTGAGTAGATCACCTATATGAGAGCAAACAGTCAACATTTACTCGAAAGCAAAGATGAGAAGGCAAGGGGGCCAGGGAAACTAGATTACTGGAAACGAAACCACCAGAAGAGAAATAATGAGAAAGTTGACACACTGTGAAAAAATGTAACCAATGTCACTAAACCAATTTTGTAGAAATTGTTAAATGGGAGCCTAATTTGCTGTGTAAACTTTCGCCAAAAACACAATATTTTAATTTAAAAAAAGAAAAGAAAAGAAAACCTACTTCTGTTAACACTAAGGACATGTTTTTAGTAGCTGTCATTGAGTTGGCTCTGACTCATGGTGACCCCATGTACAACAGAATGAAACATTGTTTAGTACTGTGCCATCTTCACCATCATTGGTATGCTTCACTCCATTGTTGTGGCCACTGTGTATTTTGAGTGCCTTCCAACCTAGGGGGTTCATCTTCTAGCACTATATCAGACAATATTTTGTTATGATCCATAGAGTTTTCATTGGCTAATTTTTGGAAGTAGATTGCCATGCCTTTCTTCCTAGTCCATCTTAGTCTGGAAGCTGCCAAAACCTGTTCAGCATCATAGCAACACACAGGCCTCCACTAACATGGGTGGTGGCTGCACTTGAGGTGTATTGGGTGGGAATCAAACCCAGGTTTCCTGCATGGAAGGCAAGAATTCTACCACGAACCACTACTGCTCCCTGTATCATTAATTACTGTAGGCAAAAGCTAATGAGAACTCGGACTAAGGAAGTGACAGTGGGAATAAAGACAAGAATCTGGATTAAAAAAAAAGTCTGGAGATAGCATAAGAAGGATTCGACAATGGATTACTTTGTTGCAGGGAGGTCCTGGATTGGCTGAAGTGCAGGGTTTGGGAGATCTGGGGAAATGATGATGCAGATAAAGGACATATTCTCCTCGAAGCAAATACAGGTAGTTAAGCAAACGGAGTGTTCAGAGAAAAGGATGGGAACATGGACTGGAGGGCAAAAGCTGAGGAAACACACCAAATTCATGCCTGGGGCGGGGGTGGGGGATGGGACTGAGGAGGATAGAACTGGAGGACAGAAGAGACTTAACTTTCATCTGTAATACTTGTTTTCAAAAAGAAGTTGAAGCAATTGTAAATATTTGAGGTGGTACACACTGGTGCTTATATTAGTTTCTGTGCTTTTCTGTAGTTTTTAATTTCCACAAGATTAATGCTTGGAGTTATTTCTTTAAAAGAAATCAAATAATGTAGCAAGCATTTTTGGAGTACCTGCTATGTGCTTGGCACTGTTCCAGGCATTTAGGATATTTGACCCTGGCAATGTTGAATTTTATCTAAACCCTGTGCTCCTGGAAAACTGCAATGGTTAAGAAATCCTCCCACCCTTTTTTGTTCTGGGGTTTACTGCAAAGAAACATCCTTCCTTATATGACCTATATAAGACTCAGGGATCCCCTTCCCCATTTTATTTACCTATGACAAGGCTTTTTTGCCTCTTCTTTGAGATTTGATCTTATGGTCAGAGCATCCCCCTATTGCAATAGTCCCCCCTCCTAGGAAGAAAGGCTTGATGAACTGCTTCCCTAAAGATTATGTGCAAGAAAACCCTATGGAGCAGTTCTACTCTAATACACGGGGTTGCCGTGAGTCAGAACTGACTCCACAGCAACTAGTTTTTTTTTTTTTTTTCCTACTAGTGTCTCCACAAAGCCTTCCTTGAAGTTACCAGGAGTTCAGAAACTTGGCTTCTGTTTCTTGCTTGGCCAGTAAGTGTATGCTCCTGTGCAAGTCACTTTTCCCCATCAGGTCTCTTTCAGTTCTCAAATTCCTTAATTTTGTAACAGCATCTCAGCATTCCTTTTCTCACAGAGATGGTCTCCAAGGTGCGGTACACTGGAGGGTGCTTCTCCCTAAAAGGAGTGTAAATGTTGTTGTTGTTAGTTGCCGTGGAGTCGATTCCCACGCCTCCAACACCTAGTGACCCCATGTGTGCAGAGCAGAACTGCTCCAGAGGGTTTTCAAGGCTATGGCCTCTCAAAGAGGATCGCCAGGACTTACTTCTGAGGTGCCTCTGGGTGGGTTTGAACCGCTAACCTTTCAACTAGTAACGGAGCATTTGTTGTGCCACCTAATTCCAATCTAATCAATAGCAGCCACTTCGGTATATTCAGTATCAAGAGTTGTTTTAGGCTCTGAGGAGAGGAGAGTTGTCTAAAAAGTTTTTTTGCCTTTATGCAGTTTACAGTCTAGTGGAGGGAGGCAGACAAAAAAAGTAGAAGACATAGTGCATAATTACAACATAGCGCAAAGCAAGGTCCGCAATCAAATATTTATTTGCCCTCTGACCTCTACAAAACCTAAACCCGAGTCAGTCTTCCCCGGTCATCATCATTCCATCCAGGCTCCAGGCTCCGCCTGCGGCCCCGCCCCCGGAAACTGGGCCTGCCCACACCCTGACGTAGAATTTCCAGGCGGCGCTGGGCTGACCGGGCCAGTCGAAATCTGTGGAAGCTGCTCCGGTTCTGCTAAGCTCCGTCCCGTGACGTCAACACCCGGCGACGGCGATGGGGCCGGGTGCCTTTGGCGCTTGGCGCCTCGGGGCGCTTCTGTGGCGTGGTGCCCTCTCCTGCGGATTGAGGCCCACAGTGGGCGCAGGGACCCGACCTCCCTCGGGCCCGCCTCTCGGCCTGGCCTACCTGGCCCCCGGCCCCACGCGCGGCCTGCACGGCGGGACCCGGCCGGAGGAGCGGGCGGAGGGTGTTGCCGACGAGGGGCGCCGCGAGTCGAGCGCAGCAGGTAGGGGTGTGGATCCTCTCTCTGGGCGGCCGGGAGTCAGGTCCCGGCCGAGGAAGCTCTGGGTTCCCCTCTTTATGTGTTCCTTTTGGGAGTCACAAAACTCCTGGTAGTTGGCACCAGCATTCCTATTTCAGAGTGAGGAAGCTGCGAGGCCAAGAGATGATCTCTCCAAAGCCTCACGCGTCCGGACGGCCTTACTGTCCTAACCCCTCTTCACACTCTTCCTGGAGTCCAGAGAATGGACTTGTCGGAAGTGTAGGGGCTTGAGGATTCTGACAGCCAGGGGTTAGGCGTTAAGGAGTGTGAAGAAGCGCTAATAAGAGATGAGGCCAATTTAAGATCCTCTAATCATTGCTCTTAAAATGGCCCCATCTCCTCTAATCATTGCTCTGGAGCCCTGGTGGCGCTGTGATTAAGATGCTCGGCTGCTAACCAAAAGGTCGGCAGTTCGAATCCACCAGCTGTTTCTTGGAAACCCTATGGGGCAGTTCTACTCAGCCCTGTAGGGTCGCTATGAGTTGGAATCAACTGCACGGCAATGTGAAATCATTGCTGTAGAAGTCCCTGAGTGATGCACATGGTTAAGCGCTCAACCACTAGCCAAAAGCTTGGCGGTGTGAACCCACCCAGAGGCACCCGGAAGACAGGTCTGTTGATCTGCTTCCGAAATGTCACCCCTTGAGAACCTTATGAAGCAGTTCTACTCTGCACACATGGGGTCGCCATGAGTTGGAATTGATTCCACAGCGACTGGTAATCATCTGTTTTGGTAATCGTCGTAAAAGTTTTTAGAAACTTGAGAAATAGTAAACCGATCCCATCTGTAAAAGGATGGAGTATGGGAAGAAAAGATGTTAGTGAACTAAGCCACTAGGTCCTTAGAAGTCAGCTTTAGAACTATACATTTACAGGCTAATTCTCCGAGCATAAGAACAGAATGTCCAGATCTCTACAGGGGAAAGAAAAGATTTTAAATTGTCGTAAGTTATTATGTAACCCAAATGGCTTTTTTAAAATTGTGGTGAAACTATAAACAACAAAACCTTCACCAGTTTCCTTATGTACAATTCAGTGACATTACATTTTTCATGTTGTGCAATGTTTATCGCTATCCTTTTCCAAATTATTCCACCACCGTTAACAGAAACTCTATGCCCCCTAAGCAAAAACTCCTTTTCTCCTCCCTTCCACCAATAACCGTTAATAATCTTCTATATATTTGCTTATTTCATGCGAGATCATAGTTATTTGTCCTTACGACTGACTTATTTCGCTCAGCATAATGTTTTCTAAGTTCATCCATGTTGTGGCGTGCATAAGGACTTCATTTCTCTTTATGGCTGAGTAATACTCCATTGTATGTATATACCACATTTTGTTTCTCCATTCATGTGTTGGAGATTTCGTTTCTGCTTACATTCCTGCTTTCACATCTTCTGGGTACATACCTAGGACTGGGATTGCTGGTTCATATGGTAGTTCTATGTTCAACTTTTTAAAAAAATTTTATTGTGCTTTAGGTGAAGGTTTACAAAGTAGTTTTCCATTCAGCAATTTATACATGGAATATTCCAAGACATTGGTTGCAGTCCCCTCAATGTGTCAGCACTCTTCCAATTTCTGCCCTGGGTTCCCTGTTACCTTTAGTCCAGTTTTCCTACCCCTTCCTGCCTTTGCTTTTGGGCAGATTTTGCCCTTTTTGTCTCATATAATTAACTGTTCTGAGGACCTCATTCCTCTCCAGTGATATTGTTTATTTCATAGGCCTGTCTGTTGTTTGACTGAAAGGTAGGCTCCAGGAATGGTTTGAGTTTCATGTTAGAAGGGTGTCTTATGTTCTTCCAGTCTCTGTCAGACCAGTAAGTCTGATCTTTTTTGTGAATTTGTTTTTTTGATCTACATTTTTTTCTCCTGCTCTGTCCGGGACCCCCTGTTGTGATCCCAGTGACAGCAATTGGTAGTGGTAGCTGGGCACCATCTAGTTCTTCTGGTCTTGGGGTCATGTAGGCTGTGGTTCATGTGGTCCATTAGTCCTTTAATTACTCCCTTGGGTCTTCGTTTTCTCCTTTGCTCCTGCCGGGATGAGACCAATGGTTGTATCTTAGATGGCCACTTGTAAGCTTTAAGACCCTAGATGCTACTCACTAAAGTAGGATGTAGAAATTGTCTTTATGGACTATGTCAGTTGACATAAATGTCTCCCAAGTTTATAGTCCTCAGCCTTCAAGCCTAGTAACTTCGCTCTGCGAGGTGTTTGATTATGTCTAGTTTCCATGACTATGCCCCTTGTGTGTTCTATTGTCTATATTAATATACATGTAGCATCTATAAATGTGTATGTAGAAATATCTGCAATCCAGCCTATATCTGCAGATGAGTGTGCTCCCTTGCACCCTCCCACTCTTTAGCATACTTCTCTACCTATATATCCATTTTTAGGTTATTTGTTCATACTATTGTTGTAGGGTTGTCTGTTTTATGGTAATTAAACCATGATTGCCCTTTATTCTTGCGTTCCTCTCAGTGCCTTCCTTTGCCTTGGTCCTGTTGGTATGTTCAGGTTTTTGAGGAACCACCAAATGTCTTCCACAGTGGCTGTACCACTTTACACTCCCACCAGCAATGGAGGGTTCCAGTTTCTCACATTGTCAACACCTGTTGCTTTCCGTTTTTAATTATTGCCATTCTAGTAGGGGAGGGGGGTGAGGTGGTATCCCATTGTTTTGATTTGCATCTCCCTAATGGTTAATTGGAGCCCTGGTTGGCAGTTCGAATCCACCAGCTGCTCTGTGGAAACCCTATGGGGCAGTTCTGCTCTGTCTTACAGGGTTGCTGTGGGTCGGAATAGACTCGAAGGCAGTGGGTTTGGTATGGAATGGTTAATGGGAGCCCTGGTGGCGCAGTGGTTAAGAGCTTGGTTGCTAACCAGAAGGTCAGCAGTTTGAATCCACCAGCTGCTCCTTGGAAACCCTGTGGAGGAGTTCTACTCTGTCCTATAGGGTCGCTGTGAGTTGATTTGGTTTGGTTGGTTTAACGACTAATGAAGACCCCTGGTTAAAGCGCTTGGCTGCAACCAAAAGGTCAGAGGTTTGAACCCCCTAGCTGCTCTTGAGAGGAAGATGTGGCGGTCTGCTTCTGTAAAGATTTACAGCCTTGGAGACCCTATGGGGCAATTCTTGTGTGTCCTGTAGGGTCACTATGAGTCAGAATTGACTCAACGGCACTGGGTTTGGTTTTTGGGAATCACTAATGACAGAATCTTGGTGGTGTAGTGGTTAAACCCTTGGCTGCTAACCAAAAGGTCAGTGGTTCAAACTCACCAGCTGCTCCTTGAGAGAAAAGACCTGGCAATCTGCTTCTGTAAAGATTACAGCCTAGGAAACCCTATGGGGCAGTTCTACTCTGTCCTGTAGGGTCACTATGAGTCAGAATCAACTCGACAGCACACGGCAGCAACAACAATGGCTAATGATGTTGAGCATCTTTTTATGTGCTTATTGGCCATTTGAATATCCTCTTTGATGAAATGTCTGCTTGAGGCTTCTGCTCATTTTTTGATTGGGTTGTCTTTTTATTAAGTTGAAATTTTTGTATACATTTTGGTTATTAGACCCTTAATCAGACCTAAAAATTTTCTCCCAGTCTGTAGGTTTTCCTCTTCAGTTTGTTGGCAGTGTTCTTTGATGAACAAAATTATTTATGAGGTCTCATTTATCTATTTTGCTTTTTGCTGCATGTGCTTTTGTTGTCATATCTGATAAACCATCCTTAAAATTAGGTCCCATAGCCTCACCCCATATGTTCTTCTAAGATTTTTATGGTTTTAGTTTTCACATTTAAGTCCTTGACCTATTTTGAACTCATTTTTGTGTATGGTGTGAGGCATGAGTCCTGATTTATTCTTTTGCATGTGAAAGGCCAATTTTCCCAGCACCATTTGTTGAAGAGACTTTGCCTTACCCATTGAATGGACTTATCACCTTTGTCAAAAATCAGTTGACTGTAGATGTATGGATTTATTTCTGGACTCTCAATTCTATCCCACTGGCCTATATATGTCTGTTATTATACCAGTATCGTATGAGGCTGTTTTAATTACCATGGCTTTATATAGTATGTTTTGAAATCAGGAAATGTGAGCCCTACTTTATTCAAGTTTTTTGCTGCTGCTGTTATTTGGGGTCCATTGCCTTACCATATAAATTTGAGACAAATGGCTTTTTAAGAAAAACTTAAGGATTAAAAATGAGAACTGCTGTTTCAGCTGACATTGCCTAGCTGGGTGATCTTGGGCCACACATTAATTCTGCTCTACCTCAAGCTTCCTCATCTCTCAAGTGAAGGGAGTGCATCTGATACTACTTGGGAGCACTTCTAGCTCACAGTTCTAGTTCTGTGACCCTCTAGGTCTGGGATTCAATTTAACATGTCTCAGAATATCATCCCCTCTCCAACTTGCACTGTTTTTTTTTCCTCTTATAACATTTCTGTTAGAGGCTTATTGCTCATTTCTTCAAGTACTAGTGAATAGAAAGTCATCTGTTGCTGATGTGGCTCTATTTCAATGTGGTAACAGCAACACATGTACGGTGGCTCTGGGTAATCTGAGCACTCTGACCATAAAACTTGGAACAGTGGTATATGAAACACTGTTCAGGTTCAGCTGCCAGGAGTCCTGGGCCTTGTGGTCTTTCAAAACATTTTGGATCTAAACACCTTCATGGAGCAGCCATTTCACCTGCAGCTCTGAGTATATACCAACCACCAGTTGCTGCTGAGTTGATTCTGACTCACGGTAACCCCATGTGTGTCAGAGTATAACTGTGCTCCATAGGGTTTTTAGTGACTGTCAAGCCTTTCTTCCAAGGTGCCTCTGCATGGACTCTAACCTCCAACCTTTCAGTTAGCAGGTAAGCAAGTTAACCATTTGCACCACCCAGGGACTCCTGAGTAAATACAGTGTCTGCCTATTACTTGGCCATCTGACAAGCAAATCTTTGTGCATTTCAGATCATACCAGCCTCAAGTTTGACATCGATACACTGGTTTCACTTCTGAGGCAAGAAAATGCAAGAGACATTTGTGTAATCAAGGTTCCTCCTGAGGTGAAATATACAGATTACTTTGTGATTGGGAGTGGAACCTCCACCCGACACTTACATGCCATGGCCTACTACATTGTGAAAATGGTAGGAGGCTTGCTTTTCTCTTTTGGACCATTAGCTGAGTGGGATACTGCCAGTGCATCAGGCTGAGGAGCAACACTTAGAAAGTAAACCTGTCATATGAGGTTGTAAGAGAAGCCCACGTTTTCAAAACTTGAGGGTGGTTTATGTTCTTTGATAGTACAAGGTATGGGACAAATATCTAACCATATTAAATCAGGTTATTTCTAATTCTTGTCTCTTGAGACTACAAGGAAAAAAACAATATAAAAATAACCTGAGGCAAGCTAGAAGACAGTAGACCCAGAGAGCTTTCTAGAGCTGCATTGTCCAAATGGTAGCCAGTAGCCACATGGGGCTATTTAAAAATAAGTTAAAAATTCTGTTCCCTCAGTTGTACTAGCCACATTTCAGTTGCTGAGAAGTCACATGTGGCTAACGGCTACCATGTTGGACAACACAGCTATAAAACATTTCCATCATTGCAAAAAAGTTCTATTGCACAGTGGTAGTCTAGAGTTTAATTCAAATGTTTGAGCAGGTCCAGTGTTCCCAAACACCATGCTGGGTATTGTGAAGGTAAAGATGAAAAAGATCTAGTCCCCACCATCTGAGTTCACAGGGAAGGCAGTTTATTTTCCAGCTTGGCTGAATACAAATTAAAATGAGGAAGAAATTGTATGTTGGAAGCCACCAGTTGATTCTGTAACATTCTTCAGGGGAACATACCTCTTCCTCTGTTGAAAAGCAGTCATAGAGAGGACAGTCAAGACTGAAAAAATAGCTGGGGATGCATAAAATAAGAAGGGGGCAGAGTCCTGGCACATGACAGAGCAGAGAAGGGTTCCAAAAAAAGGTAGTTGGAGAGACTGGAAGAGAGCCAGGAGAAGAGTTATAAGACAAGGTTCCAGTTCCAGGGTGTCTTGTCAGCTGTAATAGTGGGATGGAATAAGATGAAGACTTAGAAGTGGCCATCGGACTTGAGATATGAAAGGAATGGGAGAGTTTTCACAGAAGCTTCTAAGGAAGAGCAAGGACAAGGGCATGAAAATTACTTTTGCAAAAATTTTAGATACGAAGGAAGAGAAGTGCGAGGTCAAGCTATAGCTATGAGGAATGACTAAACTAGTTCCCAAATTAAGACCAAGAAAATACATCAGACCCTCATTAAGAGCAGAGGCCTACCTCTACCCCCTTTAATACATGACCTGGCCTTTTTCAGTACAAATACCTGAAGTGTAAAAGTGACCCTCATGTTAAGATAGAAGGGAAGGACACTGATGACTGGCTCTGTGTGGACTTTGGTAAGTTATTTTGGCACGTTTAATAGATGAACATTAGTGTGATACCAAATGTTTAATTGATTTCAGTGTAAAAGACTTAAGATCAAATTGCTGAGTGCTTTTTCATAGAAAATTTTTTTGGAATTTAAATTAACCAAAATTTTATTTAATTATAATGCAGGTGGTCTTATTCACACATGAAATCCTCATCTGACCAAAGTATGCTAGATAATGCACTCTTGGAGGAAGAGCTATGTACATTATATGGTATATATAGATATAAATGTAAAACTAACCACACAGGTTTGGAAGATGGTGGACAGCAGGATGGATAACATAGGAGAGGAAGGCTTGGGAGGTGGGTGGGGGGCAGCGACCTAGGCCTTAAATAATGGAGATGAGGGTGAAGGGCGTTCAAGGCACAAGGAATGACAAAAGCGGAGACCTAGAATTTTGAAACGGAAAAACAAGTTTGGGTATTAATATATGGATTGTTTCAAAGTATTTCCTTACAAAATTATTAAAGGAAAAATTATATGTCAAGACCTGTGAGAGGTCTTATAAACTACTTACAAACTAACAAGTTGCCAGTTTTACAGAAAGACAAAGGATTAGTCCCAGCAATAGCAGTAGCTAGCATGAACATTTTTGCGTCAGTTCCCCAAGTCCATAGGACAACACAGAGGGCCAGATGACACCTGAACACAGTAGCTAGTGTTACCAGAGAGGTACCCTGAGCTTAGGGAACTGAAATTTTTCATAATAGACAATGAGTATGCCTGCCTGTTGCTCTGGTGGCATTCCAAGGCTGTAAGCTAGGGTTTCTCTGCCATAGCACTACTGACATTTTAGACCAGATAATTTTGTTAGGGGGGGGAGTCACTGTTCTGTGCATTGTAGGATATTTAGCAGTGTCCCTGCCACCCAACACCTAGTTGTGACAATAAAAAATGTGTCTAGACTTCTGCCAAATTTGCCTTTTGGTTTGGAAGGAGACACTATTTCTATCTCCTAAGACTATTCGTTATACAATACAAACGTCTTTGAAAAGATAGTCCAGAACAAAGGGTGGTCAAGTGTTTTTGCCCACATGATGTGTAGAAATGTGAGACCCATGGAGAATTGTCTTCCAAGAGAAACTTGACACCACCTTCAATCACTTGGATAAAGTTAACACTACCTGTAATGCTACGTACTAACACCATGCAGTTCCCGTATGATGCACTGAGAAAGGCACAGCATCACTTCTGTGTTTTTTTGGGGTGGGGCATTCCTAGTTCCCAGGTGGCGCTAATCCAGGGACCACTGCTTAAGAACCATTGTTGTAGTTCCTAGAGTTATACTAGCTGTAGAGGGTTGTGAGATCACAAGAATAAAAGCTTCTTCATTTTAACTCTTATCTGTCCCTGATAGGCAACATGGTGATTCATTTGATGCTTCCAGAAACCAGAGAAACCTATGAATTAGAGAAATTATGGACCCTGCGTTCTTATGATGACCAGTTAGCTCAGATAGCATCTGACACATTACCTGAAGACTTCATTCTTGGACTAGAAGACCACACTTCATCCCTGACTCCAGTGGAGTTCAAGTGTGAATAAAATTGTATGAACTGCTTTAGTCATTTCAGATTTGGATTGAGTTGCTTCTCTAATAAGTTGGTTGGGTTGTTGTCAAAACAAGCCTTGTCTACCTCATGGGCACTCATGCTGACCGACACCTGGAGATTGTAGCTAAGTGAGCTAGTAACTCATACCAAAACTCAGTAGGTTCAAACCAAAACTTTTAACATGTCTGTATTCCTGGGGATTACAGCAGGATTTCCAGGAGTTAGCACTGGCCCCTTTGCACCTCTTAAACTCTGCTCAGTCAGGTTTTTAATTTTGCTTACATGCAGATAGTCTGTAGAGTGAATGGCCAAATTAAAACAACAAAAAACTACCATCACACCAGTCCAGTTACCTTTTCTTTGAGGTGATTAAGGGCAGCAGTAAATACCAGAATATTCTTCTTGGACAAGGCTTCTAAACTCTTCAAGAGCACTCCAAATGAAAGAAGAAAGTAAAAATTTAGACAAGTTCCAAGTCTCATGGATCCTAAAAGTCATGCAAATCTGCCATGCCACTGAAAGTGAAGCGTGTTTTGGGAGGGTAGGGGAGGTTGTTAGCTTAGTGCAAAAAAAAAAAAAGTATTAGGAAAACTTTCTTAAAATCTGTAATTCTTAGTTCATACACAACAGTATTATCAAGGTTGGCATTAAGTTACATGGAATGGAGAAATAAACATTTTACCAGTAAATATTGGTACTTGAGATTGACATAGTATTACTAAAAATCTTTTTAAGTTCTTAATTTGATCAAATTCAGAACTTTCACATTCATTTGAAACACCAAAAACAAAACATACTACACACCAAGCTCCATCTAATGATGAAAAATTTTATTCTGCATAAAGGTATCTGGAAAATGAAGCTGCATTGGGGGCACATTATAGATGAGGAATGATCCATACATGGTGAATACAAAACTCAATTACAGATTTATATCCTAGCTATTACCAGATACTCCAAATTACCAATGCTTAATTGAAAGTAAAACATGATTTGCCACATTAAAACGCCAGAAGTGAAATATGACAGAATTTAAACCAGCAGATATAAATGCAGCACCTATCTGTATTAAGAAAAATCAAATACTGGAGAAAATATTGAGGAAGAACTCTGGCATTAAACACATCTCACCTGAAATCCAACCAGAAAGTCGGTCCGTGTTTTTTTTTTTTTTGGCAATTTTAATTCATTGTATGAAAACAAATCATGAATGCTAGATGAATTCCGTGACAAAAAAGGGCACTTTTTGGCTAAAACTACAAAATAAACTGCTTTTCTGAAAACATTTCAAGCCATTTTCAAAATGTCTAATCAGTATACTGATCGTCAGAAAAACTTATCTAGTCCATGTAGAAATTTATCTTGAAATACAAATGAGAGAAAATGATTTTTTTAAAGGGTTATTATAAATGCCCTTCAGATCAGTGTAGCATGATGACTGTGATCATCTTATGAACAAAAAGCAACATCAAAACAACTCAGAGAGCAGCATGGCCTTGGAGACCACCCACACAACTGTCCTTACCGGGCTTTGCCATCAAATTAAGGATTGGGCAAACAAATTCATTTATCAAAGGGCAAATACCTTATCACAGTCATTCAAATTATATTCCAAAAGTTGTTTTTCTGTATTCTCTACCTTTTGACTTACTTTCAAACAGCTGGTTGTATAGTGTATAAGAAATCCCACTGCATTTTAGGTAATGTTTTAGGTGCCCTTTCATTTTTCTTGATTTTTTAATTTATCATTGTTTAAAAAATCTTCAAAATAGCTTAGTGAGGCCCACAGACAGTGCCTGGCACACGGAGATGTTGCGCCTTTAAACACTGTCATACCATCTCTGACCGCCCCAGTAGTCTTCACAAAGCATTTATTTTGATGTCCGCTCGAAGTATAGACCAATTAGGCTGAAATGTATTGGCAAACTAAGCATTCTGGAAGACAAGCTGAAGCTTCCTATTTGCCAATCAGTTTAAAGTCCACAGGGGCTGCATCTCTTCACTGGTGCACTTTCCTTAGGTAGTGATAGTCAAAAGCACAAAGCATTTATGCATTCAATCACGTAGCCAAACAAAAGACCCAAGTCTCCCAAAGCCATTTAAACTAGCCGTTCCCAAACCTCCTGCCACCACTTTGCTCTATTAGTACCATCAGAAACTTCTCCTACCATTAACAAGAAAATAAATGGTACTGCTGCTCTCCAAACATAGGCACTGCTCCGTTTCTCTGAATATTGGATTTTCCAGCTAATAACTGTCAAAAGCCTCAAAAAACCTTGAATTATTTTTCCAACTTTACTGTCACCAGCCAGAAGTAAAATTCGTTCCTCAGTTATTTGCCTGTTAGCTGGTAGCTGATTAAATTCATTTTTTAAAAAAGGTTGGACTTTCATCTTTATAAAGTATATAAAATTTTCAGAAAAAAAAAAAAATTTGCTTTTCATTGCATTACTGAATACCTGAGGTAGTTGAGTAAAAATGCACGTTTAATACCCCTGCCAACACCATTCAGCACTTCCCTTAGGTTATTCATGTTAGTGTTAGATACAAATAAAAAGTTTTTCTATGCTAGTGGCTTAACGTTTATGATAATTCTACTTAGGAGCAAACCGTTTTTATTTATTTGATGAATTTAGCAATTGCATCATTAAACCAATCTCTGGCGTTACTGGGGGAAACATTAATTCCTGGGGGAATATGTGTTACAAGGTGAGAATAGAACAAAAGGGAAGTGCAGAGCTCCTCTCTCTCCCTCCCCCACTAAATTCTTTTTAAAGCTGGGTGTCATACATTTTAGAGAGCATAAAGTATACATTCTCACAGAGACAGGAGTTCAAAAGTTGCCTGGTCCTCAAAGAAACGACTGGCTGGGTAAAAACTTGTGCATGTGATTCTGGATAGGGGTTCAGCGCCCATCTGTTGGTTAAGACATCTGTCTTTGGTTTGGCATCTCTGCCTCTGTGGTGGGCTGTTTCCTGAGCCTTTATTTTCGTCTTGACTGAGGTGGTCCACTTTGCAGAGCCTTCTGCTGTTGGTGTTGCTTTACCTGAGTCAGAATTGCCTGAATTTTTCTCTGGGCAACCTGCAAAGGGACAGAGCTTTGAAAAATTCTACCTGATTGAAAATTACTGTTATTTTACTCTCCCATTTTAACAGTTCTAAACAGAAATTCACTTGAGGATTAAGGATACACATCGGTTTGCTAGTAGAGTCTCTGAAAGCATCTGCTAAAAGGGGGACTAAAAGTGTTAAGCACCAAACAACCTTAAATACTTATATTGGGGGAGGTGAGGTGGGGTGGGGGTACCCAGGGAGAACTGTTGTTTCCATTTGAGAAAAAAAGCAAAAAACTTGGTTATCACATTAGGAATTCTGAGCCCACTTGCCTGGCAAGCATAGAAGTGGCCAGTTATTTTGACAACCACTTGGTCATTCTCATCGGGTGTCTGGTCACGAGGGACAACAACTTCTGCACTTGACAAATTCTGGAGCTCATTCACCTGGAAAAGATAAACACAAATCATGTTAAGGGGAGTTTTTTAAAGCTGCTATTTCCTGAGCACTCACTCTGTGCCAGACTATGGCTTTACAAGTCTCATGTAATCCATTAATAATCCTACAAGCCTGTTAGGATTGTCCCCACTTCAAGATGATTAAAACCAAGGCTCGTGCAAAGAAATTGACTTGTCCAAAGTTACACGCCCAGTGAACGGCAGAACCAATTCAAGCCCAGAAATTGTAAGTAGCTTTGAAAACAACTGACTTAAAAGTTATGTTTTTGCAACTGGAAACAGTTTGCTTTGTTCAGTTATAGAGGTACAAGTGTAGATGAAATCTTCTAATTTTCATTTCATGATGTGTTTGTGCAATAAAAATAAACTGAAGTTATAGCAACAGAATGTTTAATGTCCCTTAGAAACATGGGACAGCCCTCTCACCCAAGTGGTCTCAAAGACATGCCTTATTTTCAGTAGTAGCTGACACCAACACTCAGGAGGTACAAAAGGCAATCTTCCAAACCTTGGCCAAGATGGTCCAGACTTTTATGAATTAGCCAAAATTCAGGGATTTGGAACTCCTAAGTACCTTTCAGTGCTTTCCCTTTCATACCACTGCACAGGTTTTGCTGAAGTACTTGCCGTTTTGCCTCCTTTTCCAATAACTCTGCCAGCAGCAAAGGATGGCACTCTGATATGAGCTTCAAGTTTCACTTCTTCTTTAGGACTAACGAAGTTTTCTTCTTTAATTTTTCCATAAATTCTTCCCTGAGCCTACAGATGAGAACGTATCCTGTAAGTGTCATTCATATCAGAAGCACAAAAGTCTTATGGTCTCACCTGATGTGATAACGGGCCACTGAGCATATTCACCTTTGGAAGACAGGTAAATCCAACAAATCTTATCAACAACCATTAAGGAACTCTCGAAATTAAAGGCTTTTGGTTTGTTTTGAAAAATAATTTTGGCTGTTTATACTCTGCTGTTAGTCACATAAATTTCCATTGAGATTCTTTCTACTGGTATTAGACATATTTAAGGGAGAAGTCAGGTAATGGAGTTCTTGAACAGAAGTCATTCACTCTCCACATCCATTTATTTTTTACCTTGAACTGAGCCTCTGGAGGCCCAGTAATAATCACCATCCTCACTTTTGCATCTGGTGCTTCAGCTGGAGCGATCTGTAACAGACCCATCAACAATGGGTTACTTCAGGTGCCACAAACAGAAACCCAGTGCAAATGAATCTGCACATGAATGACTAAACAGAAAAGAAAGCCTGGAAGAAAGTTACGGAGGGGCAGTGATTAAGGTGGGTTAGTCAATTATGGCTCCTGCCACAAACTGTATATTTACACTGTGCGAAACTCCACGTGCAATCTCCCAGTTAGTCCTCACCACATCCTGATAAGGTTATTACCTCCACTTTACAAATGGGGAAACTGAAGGCCAGAGAGGTTGAGTTACCTGGCCCATGATCACACAGCTAACAGAGCTGGAGGGAGAGCTGAGTCTGTCTCCCAAGCCCATGCTAATCCCTACACCAGTGGTGCTCACAGTGTGCTCCTTGGCCCACTTGTGTCAGACTCCCCTGGGCTTCCTGTCTGTGTAACAGATTCCTCCAGAGACTCTGCACCCTATGGTTTGAGGCTACTGCCTGGCACAACCTTTTCTGTTTTTATGAGAAGGACACTGCTTTTTAATTATATACTTCCAAATTTTATAGAATTTAAAACGAAAACTCGATTTCTTTCTTAAGCTGTTTTCGTAATTTTTTTGCTAAGTTTACTTACAAATCTAAGACTATTAGTAAATTCTTCAAAGTATGTCATTGGAGTAATATACGAAATAAACACTAATTTGACAAAAGGAAATTTAGGCTTTCTATTTTTGCATAGTATGCGAAATCATTTAGAAAGCCTGCACTGGGGGAAGGGTGTAGAGACTGTTGAAGAGAGAAGACACCAGCATTGCCCCAGGGTCATAGTAAGAAAAGATTTGGGGAACCCAGGACTCGGAAGGAGTCGTTTTGAAAGAAATACATTTATGCCAGACATATTCATTGTGCAAGAAGCACATTCTCATTATTTAAACATACATTACTACTGTGTAAGAATAGGAAGCAAAAATACAGTATCACCCCAAATTCCATCACTCGAGATGATCCCTGTCAATTGATAGTCTTTTAGACCTTTTTCTGCACATAAATGCTTAAAGTCAAAAGACTGTTTTTAATGGAATCATGCTGTCTTCCTCCCTCAAAATGAAACTGACATTTCTGTCACCTAGGGCCAAATTGATACTACTTCTACTTTATGCTGGGCAGTGATTAATTTTGAGTCTATAAAACAAGCAAATAATTACTTCCTTTTACTTCAAACTCTCAGGATTATTCACAGGAAACCCCTGGAGAGAAAATATCATTCTCACCTTTCCCGCTAGTTTTCTTTTTTCTTTTAAATAATACTTCACTGTGTTTTCGGTGAAGGTTTACACAGCAGTTTAGGTTCCCACTCAGTCAACAAGTTCTAGCCAGACTGTTCAGTGACACTGGTTTTATTCTTCACAATTCATGAACATTCTCAACATTTCAGTTCTGGCTGTTTCGTTTGCATTAATCTAGTTTTCCTGCTCCCTTACATTCTTATCTTTGTTTTAAAGTAATTGTTGACTCTTTGGTCTCATATAGATGATTTAAAAAAAAATACCTTTGTAAATACTAGTGATAGAGGGCTGGGGCTAAGGGGACTCACACATTGAGGTTAGGAGTGTAAACTGTTATACACTTTAAAAAGCCTGAAAAACGCACATACCCTCTGACCTACCAAGTCTGTTTCTGTAAACGTATTTATTACAGAAACAAGAATGGTACACAATCTTGCTCAAAGAATTTTGTTCATTACCATACTGTCAGAGACAAATTAAGAACAATATAAATGTCCATCAAGTGAATACAAATAATTATGACTTGGGGATACTAAATATTATGTGCCTACTAAAATGATGTATATATATGAATATTTACATACATATGGTATATGTAAATCTATATCAAAGTGTTGAGAGATGGTAAGTCTTTCAGATTATGCATGTTTTCAGACTTTTTGGATATAAAAACATTTTTCAACCTCATTAAAAAACCTCCACGGAAGTCAAAGAATAAGAACCGAGCCTCTTAATTCTTCTTGTGCATGAAATGTTCACTGCAGTTTTTCTAAAATGGATCTACTAAATTCTTTTTGTGAGCATGTGTCCAAGATTGATTTTTAACTCATTAATCAGGCAACTAGCAGGACAGTAAAGCTGGTTTACCACTTGATCATTTATTTTGGCTGGATTTCCTGTTCAAGTACTATTATTTTTGCTGCAAGAGAATATATGGGTTCTGTTACGTGTTTTCATTTTTAATTACTTTTTAAAAAAATTTACATACAGTAAAATTCACTCTTAGTCTACAGTTCTGAGCTGACAAATGTACAGGCATGTATGTAACAACCACCAAATTCAATACAGAACAGTTCCATCACTCCCCAACATTTCCTTGTGCTGCCTCTTTCTCTTCAACGCCCCCATCTCCAACTCCTAGCAACAATGATTTATTCTTTGTCCCTATAGTTCTGCCTTTTCCAGAATGTCATATAAATTGAAAAGTATGACTTCTTTCCCTTAACATAATGTATTTACGATTCATCTAAGTTGTTGCACGTTATCAATCGTTTGTTCCTTACAGATGAACCACAGTTGATCCATTTACCAGTTAAAGGACATCTGCTTTCTTTCCATTTGGGGGCAATTATGAATAAAGACGTTATAAACATTTTGTGTACAGATTTTTGTGTTAACCTAAGTTTTTATTTCTCTTGGATAAATACCCAGGAGTGGGATTAATGGGTTGAATGGTAAATGTATTATGTTCTTTTAAATACATTTTCAAATAAAAAGTTTATAAAACATAACCAAAGTCAGATCCCCAATAGATCAATGTTTTCCTGAAGAAAGCTACCGTCAGCTTATTGCTTAAAACAACTCATGTATTTGATATTCAAATTTGCAGCATATTAAAATGCAGAATTCAGAGCATGCAATTATCTATATGACAGACACTATTAGTTCTCCTCCAATATTTGTTAACCCACCTTCCATAGTAATAAAATGTTTAGCTGGCCACACATGGACTACACTTCCCAGCCGCCCTTCGCTATGTCAGCCTTGTGACCAAGTTCTGAGTGATGGAACATTTAGAAATATCCTACAGCAACTAACAGAACCTTCCTTTAAGAGAAGGTCTTCTTTGTTGTAGCCTCCTCTCCTACTGGCTGGACACAACAGACTGATTGCTAGAGCACTGACTGGTGCATGTGGGACCATGGGGACCAAGGTCAGACCTGCAGAAGAGCTAGAAGGAACCCAAGTCCAGGAATTTGGTGGGGAGGAGCCACCATACCAGCCCTCGATTACTTACCTCCAGACTGCCTTTTTCAGAGGCAAGTTAACTTTGTTTAAGCCACTATTGTTTGAGGTTTTCTGTCACATCCTTATATAACCCTAATATAGTCTGCCACTTCAGTTCAGATTATAAAATGACAACGTGAGTCGTGATTCTGTAACTTGCTGTACTTAAAGCACTAGGAGAGCTACAGTTGGCAGAATGGTACCTTAATAGAAGCTCCTGCAAAGCGAGAAAGCTGTTTGATATGCTGTCCCTGCTTGCCAATAATGGCGCCGACTGATAGGGCTGGGATGAACAGATGAACAGTCTCCGTTTCTGATTGCTGCTGGAAAAGAAGGACAGGATATGCATGCTTACTTGCTACAAGTCAGGCTTTTATTATGGTTGGCATACAGATGGGGGCCATGCTCATAGTAAGAATATTAGTAAAGTTTTAGGAAAAGTACAGTAAGTTGACATGAATTTATGAATTTACATGTCAAGATGACTTCATAGATTCATCCTCAAAGCATTTGCATTTAAAATTTCACTTTACACAATCTCCTTAAACATTAAAATGTCATTGAGTTAAAGATTTAAAAGATAGGTAGACTAATTATAAAGTTTAATAGAGGGACAAGATTGAGTTAAACGTTGAATAAGAAACACACACTATATCCAAAGTAGATTCTTGACAAGCAAATGAAATTCTGGGCTGAACTTCCAAGGACACCAACTCTGCAACTTACTCTAGTAGCCATGTAGGTTTCACCTCTTAAAGACACAGTGAACTAACACTTAGTGACACAGAGAACCAATTTATATTAGTGGCAAAATATCACAAGATACTCTTCCCATATAATTTTTTATTGCTTCTAACTCTACCTTTCCCCTTGCACATAGACAAACTGGAAAACCGTCTAAAGGATAACTAAATTATTCATGAATGAATTTTATCTCTATACCTCTTTCCTCCACTTCTTCCCATCCCAGACCAACTATGCCCTTCCTTAGACTCCCTTCAAATAGTCATTCTTGCAGAGCTAAAGGACACATTCACTTAAAAGAACAGTTCATAGTGACCAGGTTCCTAAAAGGGCCAATTCATGGTTCAGTAATGTTACTGTTAAGGGTTCCAAAACGCAAGAGCAGTGCACATATTCATTCACTTTCCACTTCGTTTACGTTCTAACAACAGTTAAGAAAAACATACTTCCAAGAATAAATTAATTCTAAGAAATATTTTAAGATTAAAAAAAATTCAACTCTAGAAATACTCTTGACTAAAATTACTCATCTCTAATCATTTGATTTTGTCTTATCAGCATTTGTGTAAATAGATGTACTAAGTTTGTATTAGATTCTTTACACATAGGTATTTTTTGGTATTCCTGTGCTTGCCAGGACAGTGTAACACACTGCAGGCATTAATACTGCTGTCAGCTGAAGAAGTCCCCCTGTAGCTCTACAAGCATTCTTAGAACAAACACACCAGTAGAAGACTGGCCTCCACACTAAACCCTTCACTGTGGAGGTTTTTGAGAGGGGCCTGTCCTGCACAACTTGGCCCAGTCATGCTGTTGCTATTCATCAGTCAAGGACACCAGATAAAATTATTTCATTCTTCACTATTTCCAAGAGTGCCTCTCTTTGAAAGTCACTATATCCTGTAGCCTGCCAGTGTTAAGCAAGCGCCATATACCATCGATCCCTGGGGGGGGACACTTTAAGGTCTTTGTTATTTTGTAACTGGATAGACCGACTGAATTACTGCTGACACTGACCATAAACTGTGGTCAACATTAGCACCGTTTTGTCTTTCTGGTTCTTACACTAAAACAACCAATGAGTTAGTCTTAACCACATTTAAAAAAAGAAATGTGAGAGTAGAATCCTAATATTTTATCTCACTGAGACCATCTGTATTATGCTGATTCTTATGAACAACATACAGTTTTGGTTTTGGTCTGGGAGTAATAAAGACCTTTTCAATGATCAGAATAAATCTAATGCGTAACTCACCAAAATCTACCCCATGATATTTGGCCATGACTGTATAATTGTTGTTTCCTGGACTTTGTAGCAGAAAGAATTTTATGCTACTTACAAAATGACACAATCTAGGATGATAAAACAAAGTAGGTGAAGAAATAAGAGCACAGGGATCTGAACAGAAAAGATGAAGCCAAAGGTGCTATTACACAAATTTGGCACTAAACTTCCTAACAGCTAATTACAAAAAAAAAAAAACCCAGTTGCATAATTTACCATACTAATAAGAGGAAAAAATACCTTGCTAAGCCAAAACTAACCTGTTGGAATTGAGGCCCAGAAAGAACTTCTTCTCAATGTCCTCAGAGGACACCTCTGTAACAGGCATCACCCTCAACATCCTTAGAGTCCCAAAGCCTTACAAGCACAGCCTGAGCATGTGTCTTAGCCTTGAAGATACTGAAGACTACTGCTACAAGGGACACGCAGAGGCAGAATTATGTTACAGTCTCAAAAGCTGAACAAAAGCAAAATAATCTTTCTGACAGGGATGGAAGGCTATTGCTGTTGTTTTGTTGATTTTTCGGGATGTAGAGGGGTGAGGAAGTACCTGAGTAGTGCAAACAGGTAATGCACTCAGCTGCTGACCAAAGGGCTGGAAGTTTGAGTCCACCCAGAGGTGCCTTGTAAGAAAGGCCTGGCAATCTACTTCTGAAAATCAGCCACTGAAAACCGTATGGAGCACAGTTCTACTCTGACACGCATGGGGTTGCCATGAGTCGGAACTGACTCAACGGCAACCGGCGGTGGTGGTGGTGGTGGTGGAGTGGGGTCGGAAATGATAAATCCAATATGAAGATTAAGAATACACTTAAAAGTTCTGTGAAGCTTTGGAAACGGAACAGCCGTCAGTGGAGAAGGGCCTAAAGAACCTTAATGTAACAGACGGAAGGGGCAAAGACATGAAGAATTAATAGGAAGACAGAAAAATGTCCTAAACTGAGATGAAAACAGAAACAACTTGTCAAAGAGAAAAAGAGTTAGAAGCAAACCAAGTGTTTCCCCACACCAGGAGACGGTGCTTTAGACTGCCAGCAGTGTGTGCTCCTGGCAGTAATGCCTAAATGAAAAGTTGACTCATAGCTGTTTAAAGCTTGATGAAAACATTTCTAAACATCACCCAATTCCCTTTGCTCCAATTCCATATCCACCAAGCATTTCCCCGACTATAAATTACTTTTCAAGGAAATTTTCCTCCTGGGAGTATAAGGCAGCTCACATAAACTCCTGTCTACTTGACAGTCATTAAATTGGCTCTCCTCTTCTTTAAATAGATTCTCTTCTTTTTGAGAGAACTTAAAAGCTTACCTCCTCCCTCCCAAGCTCTGTGGGATTCCTTTAACAGGTATTACTGCTAAATCCAGTGGGGGCAAAGTCAAACAGCTGTCCTCACAATCTGTTCTCCGTCCCTCTTAGTAATAGACCCTGCATGAAGCTGGGCACATGGCTGTCTCAAACACAGATGGCTTTCCAGCTTCTCTTGTAGCTATCTGTGGCCAAGTGTCTATGTTCTGGCCAACACCATACCAGTAGAAACACAGAAGAGCAATTTTCAGACAGTGCCCTTAAATGAGGAGGCTGCCAATTTTTGATACCTCATCAGACCCAATGGCTGGAGCTTGAGCAGTTCCCCTGGGCCAGGAGATAGCATGCTAAGCAGAAAGGAACACCAGTCCTAGGTAATGTACAAAACCACTACCAGTTCCAGATTGTCTACTCCTGAAATCATCTCATGGAAAACTCATTTAAGCCATTTCTTTTCTTATAACACACAGTCAGACCTAATCCTGATACACACAACATGCCAAAATAAATTTAGATAGCATGCCATGGAGGTTTTTGGTCTGGTATTTGTCTGTGAGTTGGGAAGTAGATATATGAGCTTTTTTCATCACTCTTTAAAAGAGGGACAGAGGTAGGTGATGTTTATGAAAACATTTATCCAAAATATTTTCTCCTATGCAGTAGTCTTTCCAGTATTTCAAGTCCACCCTTCACAGACTAGTAGACCTTTCTTACAGAATAGTGGTTCTTGAAAATGAATAACAAAAAAACTCCTGATGACCTTTATAAAACGTTTTTGAGCTTCCACCTGCCCCCACTGGAATTTTAATTCACTTAAATCCAAGGTGACCACAGATTCATAACCAGTTCAGAAACAGAGCAGCTGTTGTTAAGGTAGCCTACACACTGGAGTCATCCAAGTAGCTTTCAGAACTTTCAATACCTGGGCCTCATTCTCGCTGTACTCCTGGGGATTCTAATTCAAAAGGTCTGGGTAATTCTAATGTAAATACATTTTTTTTCTTTAAGGCCAAAACCAAACCTGTTGCTGTTGAGTTGATTCTGACTCATAGGGACCCTACAGGGAGAGCACGGTAGAGATGCCCCATAGGGTTTCCAAGGCTGTAATCTTTATGGAAGCCGACTGCCACATCTTTCTCCCACAGAGTAGATAGCGGGTTTGAACTGCTGACCTTTTGGTTAGCAGCCTAGTGCTTAGCCACTGTGCCACCAGGGCTCCTTTTCTTTAAGACAGCTTTCTTTAAAGCTGTACTTTACAGAAGATGCCAATTATAAATTTAGATGAAGGAAGAAAGAAAAACAGTAGTAACTGATTTGGGCAAAAGTCAGCAATGGATATCAAACCTATTGGGCAAAAAGACTGTTGGGGAGCAGTATACCCATCCAGTCTCAAAGTTCCACTCATTAACTGCAAACAGGCAAGGTATCTTTACAATGGCGAAATCTGGCAGACACAACCTTAATCACATGATCAAATTTCATATGACTAATAATACTGACATCATGACCAATAATGGTACAAACTGACACACTGAGAAGGTATTCTAATTCCTCCTCCCCCCAAAAAAGTATAACCTGAACCTAATTATGAAAAGGCAATCAGACAGATCCAAATTTAAGGACATGCTACAAAACTACTGACCTGGATTTTTCAAAAATGTCAATGACATGGAGAAAAAAAAAAAGGCTTGCGTACTGTTCTAAATTTTAAAAAGACACGGTAATGATTAACTCAATATAATGCATGATCCTTGTAGAATTGTTTACTGAAAACATACAGTTATAAGGGACATTACTGGGACAACTTGGGAACTTAAATATAGACTGCTAAATAATAGTATCGTGTCAATGTCACAGTTCCAGAGGGTGATGATAATATTGACACAGATGAATGTCCTTGAGGAGAAAAGTTCAAAAGAGTACAATATTCCCATTAGTAATCACTGTAATTATTACAAAATTTAAAAAAATATACACCAAACATCCAAGGGAGGTCTATACATCTCTCTATTTGTGGGAAGAAAAGGCAAATGTGAGCATGTATTTTTAAAACTCACAACAGCTAAGACTTCTTCTATGTTAGAGAAGGTTAGAGAAACAGTTCTCTTTTCCACTTTTAAGTTCTATGGATAATTCCTGACATGCTCCCTGAGGTCCAATGCTAATAGAAAGATGAAGTCAGCAGTAGATTCAACTCTCCAGAAAATCAAAGAGCACACTCATCTTCAGTAAACAGTAAACATATACAGAATTTATCAAACATTCCAGCAGATAAGAGATTTGCCTTTCTTCTTAGCACTTAGTATTTTGAGTGGATCATCTCCTACACTGATTTAGGGAAATTTCCAGCCTAATATATTGGGGACTCCATTCTTTCATTGCCTAGAATACGTGTAGAGTAAAATGCAGGTTGGAATTCTGCGAAGAACACAGATTGCTGAGATTGTCCACGTTTTATACCTTTCAGAATAAGAGCTTCCTTTACCCATCCTGAGACCACTAGACGGTTAGATGTTCTGTGCTCTCGTCCTCTTCTTGTGTGTGTGTTTCTGTCTGTACTGTTAGCAGCTCTGCATCTACTCCTGCTTCTAGTTGTACCTATTTAGTGTAAATACCTCAGGAGAAGCAACACCTAGCCCGGTGAGGTCTTCCTTTCCTCTTCTACCATTCTTCAAATAAAACTGGTATTTGTTTAAATTGTAAAATGTGCTTCAGATTGTAAAATGTGCTTCAGAAATGTAAGTTCTTAATATGCTCTCACTTCTCTTAAAACAATCTTAATTTTTCTAACAACATGGGAACCCAAAACATAGAACAGTAAGTAAAAAATTGACTAAATCCAGAAAAATTTATATTCTTTTATTTATATATATTTTTATATTACCTAGTGATTCACTTCAGGAATTTCTGCTGCTGAAGCATCCACATAAGCATAAAAGATGCATTCAAGAATATTCTGTTACACCACTGCTTGTAATGTGAGAGGCTTTAGTGACTGCAGCGTGACGCATAAACAGTAGGGAAAGAGAAAAGAGTTAAAATGACATCTCAGTTTACAAATTAGGAAAGTGAGGAAGGTTAAGCGACTTGCTCAGAGAGACAGCTGGGGCAGAAATTTAGGTTAGATGTGAACTTCTGTAACACAATTACTTTAAATAATTAGCTTTTTTTGGTGGCTTTTAAAAAGTTTCATTTTACACAGATTTATCAGGATACATCTGCCCAAAACTCAATCATGACAAACTCATTTGTAACAAAGAAACTAGTAGGTAAATTAGAAGTTAAAGGTCCATACACTGAAGCTCATACTGTCAGATTCCTATTGTATTCAATTCTGTAAAAACTATAAATGTTTTACCTGAAACAGTGCTTAGAGATAGATAGATAATTCATCTAGTTTAACTTCTTTATTGTGCAGATGAGGAAACAAACCCAGAGCAAAGAGGAATCTGACTTAAAGTGGCGCAAACTCCTGGCAGAGCTGGGGCTAGAACTGGGCTGTGACCCAGGGTGGCTCTTGCCACCAGTCCCCATTAACATCAAATTCAGGTCCATTATCAATGATAATTGGAGGTAGACAATCATGTGAAATATAATTAACAACATTCTAGGATTTTCCTTCACAAATTGTTTTTACATCTCTTCCTTCACCTATTTGGCTCTTTAGCCTTTAATGTACTGAGTGGTATCTTCTATACCAATTTAGGGAAATATCCAGGTGTGATAAGTTAGGGACTCTATTATATCACTGCCTATAAAACATGTAGAGTAAAATGTTGGAATTCTGCCAAGAACACAGACTGCTGAGATACAAGCACTTTAGCTGTACTGGGAAGCTTCAGATAATGCAAGATGAATTCAGTCACACTCGATATTTCATTGAAATTTTAAGGCCTGGGTTCACCTTAAATCACTGGGCTTTGTTTTATGGTTTCCAGGCCCAAACACATTAGATGAGGCAGATGAGACACAGGAAGATGCAGCAGCTGCCAACAGTAAAGGTAGAAACACACAAGCAAGAAAAGGGCAAGAACTCAGAACACCTAATAGTCTGGTGGTCTCAAGGCAGGCAAAGGAAACACATTCTGAAAGGGATGAAACATGGACAATCTCAGCAATCTGTGTTCTTTGTAGAATTCCAACCTACATGTGTTGTAGGCAGTGATATAATGGAGTCCCCAACTTACTACACCTGGGTATTTCCCTAAATTGTATAGAAGATACCACTCAATACATTAAATGCTAAGGAGAGAGCCAAATAGGTGAAGGAAGAGATGTAAAAACAAATTCACGAAGGAAGGTCCTAGAATGTTAATTATATTTCACATGATTGTCTACCTCAAATTATCATCTGGAAACCCTGGTGGCATAGTGGTTAATAGCTATGGCTGTTAACCAGAAGGTCAGCAGTTCGAATCCACCAGGTGCTCCTTGGAAACCCTATAGTTTTTGTCCTGCAGGGTCGCTATGAGTCAGAATTGAGTCAACAGCGGCGGGTTTTTTTGTTTTTTTTTTTTAATTATCATTGATAATGCACCTGAATTATGAATGACTTCCAAAATAATTTACTGTATCAAGTATCTACTGTGCTGAAATAGTCTCATACTATCATTGGTCTCCTTTTTCTAACCTCAGGGGAAATATTGTTCTTAAAAAATAAAGTGCTTAATATGATCTTGCTTCTCTTAAAAGCAATCCTCATTTTTTAGAAATAAATCTAAATAAAAATAAAATTTCTTACATCATCTACCTCTTTACCAAAAACTAAAAGCTGTTTAACATTTATACAAACACAAATACATTTGTGAGCAAAACTGTCAGAGCTCACTGGTTAAAAAGACACAAGCTTCCTCTCCTAACAAAAGTTAAAGATAATTCATTGTGAAAACTTCCTTTCCCTGGCAACCCTACTTTATCCCCAAAACCAAAAAAACCAAACCCATTGCTGGATTCTGACTCATAGCGACCCCATAGGACAGAGCAGAACTGCCCCACAGGGTTTCCAAGGAGCAGCTGGTGGATTTGAACTGCCAACCTTTAGTTAGCAGCTGAGCTCTTAACCACTGTGCCACCAGGGCTTCACTTTATCCCCAGATCCCTCAAAATGGAAAACATGTCAGGTCTTTCCTGATCTTTCAAAACAGTTAACTTTCAAGTGACAAATATGAAGGAATCCTTTTCTTCAACATTAAAACAAAACTAACCTCCTGCCCTCTCCCCCAATTAATATTAAGTCCCAAACTTTTCTTTTGATATTTAAAAGCACATGTGGACAACCCTACCATCCAGAAACTTTAGAAGAAATAACTCACACTGTGTTGTTCTCTACAAAGGGCAAATGAGAAGGTTCCATTGACAAGAACTGGAGAATGTGTGCTGGCTCTAAACAGATGACAGTTTACATGGGGACCAAGTTTTACTTTAGGATTTTCCCAAGTAGTAATGACACACTCCTTGAGGGCAGCAAAGCCTGATTGTGTCCCTTAAGCTGCATCCCCCTCAACCATAAAGAAAGCCAAGGCACATTATCTTACCTCAAACTGTGGGTAGGGAGGAGTCATGGCTGAAGGGGGCCCTGAGGTGGGAGGTGGCATCCCTGAAGTGGGTGGGAACAGACCCAAGGCATTCAGATTTAATCCAGGAATTAAATGTGCTTGAAGCTGCAATGGCAAAAAGGTCCCTTAATTCTACAATTAAAAAATCAAGTGTAAACGAGCATTTATAAGTTACAATAGTCTGATTGTAACCTCTTGTGCCTAATAATGACAAAAACTGTCTTATGACTCAAATTTTTAGAGCACAGCAGATGTTCAATGTGGCTGTACTTGAGTATACAGCTTACATTTACTTGTTTCTTTGTATTTTAAATCTGTGTGCTGGTTTGCCCTCTTTTCCTTGATTTGCAACTATACTGAAGTTTTCTCAAGGGCACAGAACAGAACTTTCCCTTCCCCTATGCCCAGCTCAAAGTGCTGAAACAAGTATGTACGCTACATACTGTGGGCACACGGTCAATATTGACTGACAAATCCTGTATTAGTCGAAGAGGTAAACAAACAAGATTTGTTCACTGAAAACAAACCAGGTACATTGCTGCTGCTGTTGTTAGGTGCCGTCGAGTCAGTTCCGACTCATAGCGACTCTATGTACAACAGAACGAAACATTGCCCGGTCCTGCGCCATCCCCACCGCGGAACCAGGTACACAGAACCAGCCATTAAGAGATCTTTGCTCCCTGGATAAGATCTGGCACTCAAGGTAGGGCTCAGAGGCCTAAAACAAAGTCAAGCCCTTTGGAAATTAGTTCTTTAACCCTATGCAACTGCTGCCACTAATGTATCTCTGGAGTGAGTACATGAGCCAGAAAGGAGATTTTTGGTTTTATTTCATTTTACCAGGTTTGAGGAAGTAGAGGTAGAAATTAAGAGTTGAGACTTGAGCATACTTGAGGCTACCTTAAAGGGGGGGGGGGGGAAGCCTGTGGAGTTCGATTTACACCCAAGTGACAAACATTTAAACAAGCAGTGATAATGTGAAGGTAGGCAGGCAGTCCTAGGGGGTAAAATGATTAGCATTCTAGGCTCTTCTCACAAAGGTAATATTCTCACATTTCCCTTCTCTTAGTGTTTCAGATGACAGACCCAACTGAAGTGGGTATTTTTTTCTCAATTATTTAAAATTCAAGATGAACTTCTGATGTGTTCCATTTTCAGCACCATTCCATCCATTAAGGAATGTCAGGAATTCACTTTAATAACCTTAATTGCACTACCCAGATTTTGTCATTTGAAATTCTTTTTATTTCCGAAGTTTATGTGAGTAACCAAGTAAGTTTTAAACTTGTATTCTTAACAGTGCCTTCTATATGCATTACTTCTGTTGTTATAAGATGCAAAGTACACGGAAGCCCCATTTTACAGGAGAGGAAACTGAGGCTCAGAGAGACCCAGTAAATTGTCCACGAGGATAGAGCTGCAGCTAATATATGGTTAAGCTGGGATTGAAACGCAGTTCACATACCTCTAAAGCCCACATTATTACTACACTAAGCTTCAAATTAACATTATAAAGGAAGTATCAACCTTTTGTAGGTAGGTATCAGCCTTACTTCACAGATAAGGATACCAAGGCTTGGAAATATTAAATAATTTGCTAAAATCACAGGACAGCCAAGCCTTATGACAAAGTCTATGTTTTCCTTACTACCCCATGTACCTTTAATGGTGCTAAAAACTAATTAGAAACTATTACTTATGATGATGCCGCTAAAGAAATCAACATTAATGCAACTGAAAACATCTTTTGACTACTCATGCAAAGAAAGATATGTCCTTCATATTAAAACTAACATTCATAGAAGCAATATCATTTTCATAAGACTCCCTGATTTTCTTCATTATCTCTTCCTCAGCTTTGGCACATGTTTCAACACTGCCTTTAACTGTTATGGTGCGTTCCGGATTATACAGCGTCAATTCCTGCAACCTGCAGAATTAAAAAGAGGGAAAAGAGAACAGAAATTATAGGAGGAAGACAGTTAATAATTATTCAGCCACAGATGGCAATTAAAACCCAACTGTGGAGGCTGGTCAAACATGCAATGAATAAGCCCCAAAGACATGAATCCAAGAAGTGTAAAGCTGCAAGAGAGAATACTTCCCTTTCTACGTTCCCCACAAAAAGTACTGGGTGTATATAGTTCAATTAAGTCCCTGTTTAAACACAATTTACATCTTGACCACATAAACCATTTTCACAACTTAACAGTGAAATGCAAAGGAAATGATTGGAGGGAATGACACTTTTAATGGAAACCAAGAAATCAGATATGCATCACCTTTAATAAGTACATTCCTACTCTGTACTGACCAATTCTAGGCATAATTGACATTCTCATGCAACTGCATTTTTTGAGTCACCAAGCAAAGAAGTAGCATGAAAAGATTCCAAAAAAGGCAAACCGCAATTCATGTGTGTAAAAACTTTTTTGTCGAAGTAGTCTAGAGGAAAGAATATAAATCAATCTTCCTTGACTGAATTAGAAAAATGGTCCACTCTTGACCAGTTAGACAACCAAAACTGCAGCAGCATTATTCAGAGCCCCCCTTGTCCTCCTGCTTGACCCAGTTCTGCTGAAGCTTCACAATCCACTAAGATTACATCTGAGACCAGGTAAGCCTGAGCTAATCAAAAGCCACTATAGGGAAAGCTTTAGGAGATACTTGGTATCGCTATCTTCCACATTCCCAGAGTCACAATTCTTTTTTTTAAAAAATTATTATTTTTTTATTGTGCTTTCAGTGAAAGTTTACAGCTCAATTTCTCATACAAAAATTTATACCCATAAAGCTTTAGGAGATACTTGGTATCGCTATCTTCCACATTCCCAGAGTCACAATTCTTTTTTTTTAAATTATTATTTTTTTATTGTGCTTTCAGTGAAAAGTTTACAGCTCAATTTCTCATACAAAAATTTATACCCATATTGTAACGTGACCCTAGTTGCAATCCCTACAATGTGACAACATACTCCCCTTTTCCACCCTGGGTTCCCATGTCCATTCAACCAGCTCCTATCCCTTTCTGCCTTCTCATCCCACCTCTGGACAGGAGCAGCCCATTTAGTCTCGTTTATCTGCTTGAACTAAGAATAAGAAGCACACTCCTCATGAATATTATTTTATGTTTTACAGTCCAGTCTAATCTTTGTCCGAAGAGTTGGCTTCAGGAATGGTTTCAGTTCTGGGTTAACAGGGTCTGGAAGCCGTGTCTTCTGGGGTTACAGAGTCACGATTCTTATTTTCACAACTAGCAAAATGTCTTAGGCTAAACTTGAGACAGATGTATGGGCTATTACTCCTTAACTTTCTCTCAACACTTACTAAAAATGTAAACATCTATACAATGAAGTTTATTTGTCTTAGGCTACTTAAATAAGAAATTTATAATTTGAATCACCAATCTCAACCCACCTTCACCAAGCATTTTGTATTAGTTTTAAGAATAGCTGCCTCTAGGATAGCTTTTCAGATTTTTTTCTTTTAAAACTCTCCCTTTCTGAGCATAAAATTCAAGACAGAGTATGATCACTTATGTGTAACATTTCATGTTTTTCTTCCTTCCTTTACAACCAAATAGGACTGTCCTACTTTCTTAGCATCTCCTTCTTTGAAAAGCCCTTGCTTCACAAACATTTTGCCTGTTTTTCCTTACCATTCTTCCCTTAGTTCATCAATCTCTTCCCACCTCATCTTTTTGGGCACTTTGATAGATAGTAACAATAGTCGCCCCCAGAAAAAGAAATGTTTCCATGTCATTTCAGAGCATTCGTGGGCCCTAGTTGTTAATAACCAACTTTCAAGATGGCCCCCAGTGATGTGTAGTCCCCTCCCACACTGAATATGGCTGACTTGTGTAAACAGTATCAGAAAAATGACAAAGTGTGACTTCTCAGGCTATGTCATAAAACACACTGCAGCTTCGGTCTTGCTCTCTCTTGGACCATTCACTCTGAAGGAAGTCAGCTGCCATGTCTTAAGGATACTCAAGCACTTCTGTGGATAAGCCCATGTGGTGAGGAACTGAGGCCACCCACCAGCAGCCAGCATTGACTTGTTAGCAACATTATGAGACCCCGAGCCAGAATCATCCAGCTAAGCTGCTCCTGAATTTTTTAAGTTTTACTGTGCTTCAGGTGAAAGTTTACAGTGCAAATTAGTTTCTCATTCAAAAATTTATACCCTAATTGTTTTGTGACATTGGTTGCAATCCCCACAATGTGTCAGCACTCTCCCCCTTTCCCTTTATTGATAGGTATGAGCTTAGTGCTGTCATTTTGATGTCTTTGTGTTGTTGACCGTTTCTTTGTTCCACTTAATTTTCTGTGATGAGTCATTTTTCTTTGTGTATTTTATCTTCTTCATTGTTGTTGATTTTGTATTTGCTGAGTCGTCTTCTTGTTTTTATTTTGATGTATAGGATTGTTAGTTTCCTTTGTGGGTACCTTAATATTTACCCCTATTTTTCTAAGTTTAAACCAGTCTTTTATTTCTTTATGTTGCCTTGACTTCCTCTCCATATGCAAAATCTATGTCTACATTTTTTAGTCCCTTTTTTGGTTTAATGTTGTCATGTTTTACATACTGACATTTCTATTTCCGTATTTTCAGTGTTTTAGCTTTGACTTATTTTTGTGACTTCTCTATCTGGGTTGATACCTGGTTGCTCTGTCCTGTGTTCTAGTCTTGTGTTGTTATCTGATACTATTGATTTTCTAATCAGAGGACTCCCTTTAGTACTTCTTGTAATTTTGGTTTGTTTTTGCAAATTCCCTAAACTTCTGTTGATCTGGAAATGTCCTAATTTTGCCACCATATTTGAGGGACAGTTTTGCTGGATATATAATTCTTGGCTGGCAATTTTTTTCCTTCAAGGCTTTATATGTATCATCCCATTGCCTTCTTGCCTGCATAGTTTCTGCTGAGTAGTCTGAGCTTAGTCTTACTGACTCTCCTTTATAAGGTGACTTTTTGTTTATCCCTAGCCACTCTTAAAATTCTCTCTTTATCTTTGCTTTTGGCAAATCTGATTATGTCTATTGGGATCTACCTTATGTGGGGTTCACTGAGTATCTTGGATAGCTATCTTCTCATCTCTCACCATATCAGGGAAGTTTTCTGCCAACAAATCTTCAACAATTCTCTCTGTATTTTCTGTTATCCCCCCGTTCTGGTACTCCAATCATTCGTAGGTTATTCCTCTTGATAGAGTCCCACATAATTCATAGTTTCTTCATTTTTTAAAAATTCTTTTATGTGATTTTTCCTCAAATAAGTTGGTGTCAAGTGCTTTATCTTCAATCTCACTAACTCTGATTTCTATTCTGCTCTAATTCCTCAATTCTGCTCCTGTGACTTTCTATTGAGTTGTCTAATTCTGAAATTTTATTGTTACTCTTCTGGATTTCTGATTCCTAACTCTCCATGGATTCTTGCAGCCTGTTAGATTTGTCATTGTGCTCGTGAATAACCTTCTTAAGATCCTCTACTGCTTTGTCTGTGTGTTCCTTAGCTTGGTCTGCATTTTGCCTCATCTCCTTCCTGATCTCTTGGAGAGTTCTGTATATTAATCTTTTGTATTCTGCCTCCAGTAATTCCAAGACATTCTCTTCCTCCAGAAAATTTCTTGATTCTCTTATTTTGGGAGCTTGCTGAAGCCATCATGGTCTGCCTGTTTATGTGATTTGATACTGACTGTTGTCTCTGAGCCATCAATAAGTTATTATATTTTGTTTGCTCACTGTGTCCTAGCTTCTTATTTTGTTTTGATATGCTCAAATAGGCTGTTCGTGTGAGCTAGTTTGATTACTGGCACCTGTGAAGCTCTAACGTTCTGTCACCAGGTAGTTAGATCTGTTACTAAGTATGTGAGCAAAGGATTCTGTGTACTTTTCTTGTACGGATTCAGCTCAGGTGTCCAGGCAGTTGCTCAATATGTGTGTGGTGCAGCTCTCACCTATCGTTCTAGACTGGCATGGGTGACTGGTGTAGGCTCAGGTATCTGGCTGCCATAGGGGATCATGCGCTGAGCAAGGCAGGGGGCCGACGGCTACCCCTAAGTGTCTGGGAGGAAAGCGTGTCCCTCTTCCTTAGAGTGTGTAGGGGGGTCGGTTCTGCAGCCAGACTATGAGCACCTAACGCTGTTGGCTGTTAAGGCCTGGGGGCACCTCTTATTCATGAGCCCACTGCAAGTGGCTAGGTGGCGTGGGTGGAGCCGCCAGTCCTCAGGCCCCTTACATGGGGAGGTGAAGACCCTGCTTAATGGGTAGAGCAGTGTCAAATGTCATGAACCTGCCACTTCACAGCTGCAACAGGTGAAGTTAGACGTCAGGTATATACCCTGTTGTACTGTGGTAATGAGGGCCTACACTGTTGAAATGGTCCCACACAAGTCTATGCAGGGGTGAAAGGCACTCAAAGTCCGTGACTCCTTAAGCCTGTGCCTAGGCAAAGGAGCTGTACCTAGCCTGAGTTCCTGGCTTAGGGGAGCCAGCAGATTATTTTTTCCCGTTTGTTAATCTGTTCCCTCTCCAAGTCCAGGAGAATGGCTCAGGGAGCCTAACGGGTCCTACTTCCGGCCCAGGCGACTTGGCAATCACTGAAGCCGTCGTGGACCTGGTCCCGAGCAGGGAGCGGGAGGTAAATGGGAGAGAGGTTTTTCCCAAAGGGGGTGTTTTGGATCCACGCAGTAGGCCAGATGCAAGTACTTATCTTTCGCCAATCAAGCGCTGCTTGTCACTGGTTCTGGATGGCCGAGTAGAACTCTACCACTGAGTCTCTCCCGACATGGAAAGTGCCTCCTGAGCACCACTACTTGCATCACTATGCTCACGAGCTGATCCAGCCTGAAGGGCTCCGGCTCCCACTGGGTCAGGTCAGATCTAGCAACTCCTTGCTGCTTCGGAACCATCTCTCCCTCCCCCTGCCACTCAGTCTGATTCCTCAACTTTGCCTTTGATGTTCAGGGCTACTAGATAGTCATATATAATGGATTCACTTGTTTTCCCAAGTCTTTGTTTTAAGAGGGACCACCAGAAGTGTCTGGCTACTCCACCATCTTGACCCCACCTCCTCCCCCTGTCCCTTTACACCCTGGGTTCCCCATGTCCATTCGTCCAGTTTTCCTGTCCTGTCCCGCCTTCTTGTCTTTGCTGCTTTTGGGCAGTACTTGCCCATCTGGTATACTTGATTGAACTAAGAAGCAGGTTCCTCATGTATGTTCTTCATGGTTTTATAGGACTGTCTAATCTTTGGCTGAAAGGTGGACTTCTGGGGTGGCTTCAGTTCTGAGTTAGCAGGGTGCCTGGTGGCTGTAGACTCAGGGGTTCCTTCAGTGTCTGGTCTTTTTTTTCTGAATTTGAATTTTGTTCTACATTTTATTCCGCTTCGTCCAGGACCTTCTCTTGTGATCCCTGTCAAAGTAGTCAGTGGTGGTAGCCAGGCACCATCTAGTTCTTCTGAGCTCAGGCTGGTGGAGGCTGTGTTCTAGAATTCCTGACCCACAGAAATTGGGTGAGACAATAAATGCTTGTTGTTGCTTTAAGCCATAAAATTTTAGGGGTAATATGTTATACAGTAATAGATAATAAACTGAGTTATATACTCCAACTCTGGGAAAGTCAGAGAACTTGCTGTCTCTTGGATTATGGCAATATGAATTAAACTAGGAAATACGAGTGCAAAACATTTAGCTCTCCCTGCCTCTTCAGTGGGAACAGATGATACTTTCAATATGGGTTAGAACAAGACAGTAGGCAGCAGACAGTTTGAGAAACTAAATACAAGTGTTGGGATACAAGCTAGGGGAAATAGCTATAAAGTGAAAGAAGTTACATCTGATATGTAGCACACAGCTTTAAAATAGTGTTTGAAAATTTCCTACCTCAAAAGAAAGCAAGGCAACACTTACGGAGATATTGTGATTTTAGTGTCTGTGTCTTGTTCGATTTTTTTAAGGTTTCTTCCTTCTTTACCAATAAGTCGGCCTACAAAGTTATTATGGGCTAAAATCTTCAAGGGAATTTCTTCTGTGCTGTAAACAGAAAAATGGTCATGAAATCAGAGTAAGTAAATCCACTCTTGGGTAAAAAGTTATTATTCATTCATTAAACATTTTACTTCCTACCTGCCATACAGAAAAGCATCACGCTTGATATAATTTAAAACTTGCTGACTGGTAGCCTATATTGTAGCAACCCATGAATGGAAAATGTGAAAAAAACATTAGCAAGTATTTGGATAGAAGTTAGTTTTTAAAATAGCTTTTCTTTCATTCACTTCAGGTAATATCTACCTTCAATGATGGATTCTGGTAGCTCTTTGAAAACACCTCTTACTCAAATCCATACTTCTAAACTTCCAGTATCAAAACACAATGTACAAATGCAAACCACTCTAAGTTTAGTATAAATTTTAAAATACATATCTAGAGATACATGCATAATTTACAGCAAGAAACTCAACAGTGGTTACACTTTTGGGGAAGAGTATAAGAGCAGGAAGTGGAGCTTTCACTTTTCATTTTGTACCTTTCTGAATTTCCAAGTCATCTACACATCACTTATAAAAAATGCCACTGGGGTTAAATGGATGGTGGGCTGTTTATTTTTCTCTATATTAAAAAACAATTGTAATCTTATATATTATCGTATATATTATAATTTTATAATACAGCACTATATATAATACCCTATAGCTAAAGTACATTTATCAAATTAAGTATTGGTGATTAGGTTCCCTGGCTAAATGAAGTGCCTTATTCTGGATTCTACATTTAGTGTAGCACTGTTCTGTACACTAAAAGTAGCACAGACTCCAGCCTCTACTCAGAGGTCCTGTGTAAAAAACATTTAGCTCCAACCAGGAACATCCAAATAAACCTCCAGTTAACCTTGGCACATGACTAGGGATTGCCCTTACCTCCATACTCTCTGTTCTTCCAGGGTAGGGCTGGGCAGACAAAACAGGAGCCCCAATCAGCTCTGAGTACAAGACAAGTGAGGACTTGGGGCCCCCGCCTCAGGTGAATCCCAGGGCTACTTCTTGTAGGTGGGCTTTGCATGTCCCCTAACCACCTTCTTCCACATCTGGACTCCTCCTCCCCATAATCACAACTCAGCCCATTCCTAAGCATGAATGAAAATAAAGTATCTAGATTTAAAAACTGAGGCTTCACAACCAAGTTGGTAATGCCAACCACTATAGCTCACCAGGAGCCCTGTGGCACAGTGGTTAAGAGCTCTGCTGCTAGCCAAAAGGTCAGCAGTTTGAATGCACCAGCCGCTCCTTGGAAATACTATGGGGCAATTCTGATCTGTCCTATAGGGTCACTATGAGTCGGAATTGACTCGACAGCCATGGGTTGTTGTTGCTGTAGCTCACCATTTCCCTTTATTTGTTGGCCATTCCCAAGAGCTGTTACAGAAATCCAAAATAAAACAGCATGAATATCAATGTCTTCACAGGTTAATCCTCTTTACTCACAATTTTATATCTTGAGCTTCCTTATGCATAATCTCCAGAATAGATTTACAAGCTGCAGAGGTGCCTTCAGGAGTAGAGAGGATAGTAATTGACTTCTCAGCAGCACCTGCGTTCTCTTTACGATGGACATCAATTCTTATGGTGGGCACATGGAGAGAGGAAAATGAGAGCTGTGAGCACGTATTCACAATGGAGACTGTAATTATCAACTGCAAAGTCACTGTGCTTCTGGGCCAGGAGTGGATGACTCACTTCCCTCAAGAGCATAAACTCTTGATAAGCTGTCAACACTGATGACTTAGAGACAAGTTTTAATTCCAAGAACAATCCCCTCTCTTTCCTCAATTCAGGAAAGCAGGGACATCTTTCCATTCTGCCCAACCTGTATGTGCTTAAAGCGTCCTTTATATGCACAGAACACACCTCTCACGTCAAAGAGCTCTGGTTCAGACAAAAAGCTTTTTTTCTGCACTAAAACAATAGGAACTGGAATGCATGCCAAGATAACTGGAACTGAAATCCCACAAGCCAGGTCAAACTCCTTATTCTGCACAGTATACCTACTATTACAATGTAAGAACAAATTTCTCGCATCTGCTTTCCTTTTCAAGGCTCTTTCTACATTGTGCCACCTTAACAGAAGAAAGTCTGTTACAAATAATTACAAGAATGGAACCCAAAGATATGGCAAATCTACTTCAAGGGAAAGCAAATGGCCAATAAACACAAATTCATGTCCAACTCACTAGTAATTACGTATGTGCCACTTAAAATATCATTTTCTTCCAGACATGCAAACATTTTAAGATAGACAGAATTAAGCATTGGTAAGTGGATGGATAAGTGGGCACATCCATGCTTTTGGTGGGAATGTAGAGCGAAGTGTCAGAACCTATCAAAAGATCAAATGTTCATTATCTTTTGACCCAACAATTCTACTCATTACATCTCCTACCGATATATCGTTATATATGGGTCAAGACTGGGGTATAGCAGGGTTTCTCGCTCTTGACACTATTACATTTTGGGCCAAATTGTTTGTTGTGAGAGCTGTCCTGAGCATTGTTGGATTTTTAGCAGCATCCCTGTTCTCTACCCACTATATGCCAGTAGCATACCCCCCTAGTTGTGACAACCAAAAATGTCTCTAAACATTGCCAAATATTCCCTGGGGGCAAAATCACCCCTGGTTTAGAACCACTAGTATAGAAATATTCACTGCAGCACTATTTATAATAGCTAGGAAAAAAAACTGGAATTACCTTTAAAATGCCCATAAGTAGGAGATGGCTAAATAATAGCATATCCAAACAATATGGCTCTTTAAAAATGTAAAATTACAGGTACCAACATCGTAAGAAATCTTTGATCTTAAGTGAAAAAAAAAATGCAATACATAACATGATTTCTTTTTTATTTTTAAGTTACACATTGTACTAAACACCAGAAATAAGTCCTATAAGGACACATCCCAAACTTAACAATGGCTACTCCAGAGGTGAAATGAGGTGTAACACTTTTTTTTTTCCTTCTAACTTTGTATACTTGTGCATTTTGAATTAAACACAAAATAAGTTTGTTGTTGTTAGGTAAGAAAACAGGCAGATGAAACGGACTCTCAAATATACAGATGAGATGATTCTCAAATATACAGATGAAATGATTCTCAAATATACAGATGAGATGATTCTCAATACAGATGAGATGATTCTCAAATAT